GCATGAAATGAGATAGAGAATGAAACCCTAATTATGACAAAATATAAAGTAGGTTTACTTATTAAAGGGGGTATATGTAGTATGGGGTGGGCTTAGTTACTAAAAGAGTGGGCTTAGTAACTTGATAATAAGAAATTAAATGGGGTGGTAATAGAGATTTGTGGGGTGGGAATAGCCCCATCCTAGTAAAAATGCGAGGAAAAAAATGTTTGTGACGTTGGCCTATTTTTCTTTTGCAGATTTTTTCTTTTACTGCAAAACAGAATTCATGTAGCCGACTCTAAAATTATTGGAACATGTTGAATTAAGTAGAGCAGAATTTTTTTTCTTTAAAACATAAACATGTGTTGGTGCACTAATTGTAAAGAAAAGACAATGTCATTTTTCTGTCATCACAAAAATATTAATTCCAAGGTAGAGGTTGGGTCTTAGGCAGTCGTAACGTTGCTCTATTGTGATATAGGCATCAAGAGTTTGAATTTTGAAATTCAAGTCACCAAAACAAACTCTCTGTATAAGGGTTAGACTGTGTACATTTGTCTCTCCCTCTAGGCTGCTTTTTTCTAACTCCTAGCCACACTACGATTTTGAATTCACACACAACTTAACGCCTTAAAATTTTTAATACATTACGCAAAATCTACCTTCAAACCTTCTGCAGTGCAATCTGATACAGGCCAACCATTATCCGGTGTAGAGAACGGCCATCCACCCTTAGAAATGTGACGGTACCAAGAACTAAAATTGCCAGTGCTGTCTTCCGGAACCTCCAAAATAAAAATATATTACAAACTAGAAAATATATTCATCAAACATAATGAAATGATTCTCCACTGTTGAGATGACCTCCAAAGGGTACCTGTGAGACTCGAATGAACCTGTGGGCTTTTCCAAGCAAGGAATCATATTCACCAGCAAGATTGGTTGCAAGTATTGCTTGAACAGCAAAAGTAACATCCCACAATTGAGAACCATTATATCCCTGTCATTGAAATGCCTTTTATAATGACCAAAAAAAAAAAAAAAGATATGCCTTTTATAATCTTTAAAATCCCATATATTTTCCAAATGAAGGTATATAAAATCAAGTATCAAAATTTTGTTTCAACGCCTAATTTGTAGTTAGTTAGTTCAAAAATTGAGACATTTCGAAAATGTTTCGGAGGTAATGGACACAGAAAAAATTTAAAATTTTGAATCCAAAACATTGGCTAAAATATTTCAAAACATTCCGAAATATAGGAATTTCAATTTTCCATAACTGTTTGGTTCAGTTTCCATAAAAACAGAAATGTTTTGGACTTCTTTGGTTGAAACGAAACAACATTTTGATCCTTGTATATATTCAAAACATCTCTCTCTTTTGGTTCACTACATGTATATTTACCAACAGAGCTATTTAGTCAAGATGAACACTAATTTAGCTTACCAAAAGGTTCAGAAAAAGCAAAAGGTTTCAATTGGAAAGAAATGTTTGAAAGAAACCTGCATTTTCATCCCATCTTCAGCCAGCCACAAGTAATCTTTGATCCTTGAGAGGTGAAATTTATTTGCCACTGAATTTGGATCCTCCACCCAACAACATACCATGTTTAATACCTATTTTCATAGAGAAGACTTTTTTCAGTGTTCAACTCTATCACTTAAAAAATAATGGAAGAAGCCACATGATTATGTTATGGAGTGAGGGAGGAAGGCAAGTTGAGGATTCATCTCTATTACTCCCAATAACTGGGTACATTTATATGTCATTTTAGTAAATGCTTAAGAGTCTATGATACAGTTTTAATTTCAGAAAACAAATAATTGGTATTAATGTATCTTATACTAATCATTACCCAATGCATATGCATAATTTTATAATAATATTTATTTAAGTATTATATGCAACATAACAAGTGACCGCAGATAATTTGGTATGGAATCTCTTTACCTTGTCCAGTAGATATTTTACGAGATTATTATTGAGTAATATCTTAAAGCAGATCTATTAGTAAGAAGGGGCCAAGTTGGGCAAGTATAGGTCCTACATGCAAGGATCAAAATGTCGTGTCGACACGTCCGAAACGTCCGAAACGTTTTGGAATTTCAACACTCCGAAACGAAACAGTAGTTGAATCACAAAATTCCAGTGTTTCGGTCGAAACGGTACTGTTTCGGACCGTTTCGGTCGAAACGGCATTGTTTCGAACCGTTTCGACAAAACAGTGATATATTCGGTTCATTATGAATAATTACATTTAATACCCCATTATAATTACATTTAATACCCACTGTAATTACATTTAATACTCACTATAATTATATTTAATATCCCACTATAATTACATTTAATTCCCACTGCTCTTCTGTCTTTTATAATTTTTTTGTTATAAGAATAAATAATTACACTTAATACCCTACTATAATTATATTTAATACCCATTATAATTATATTTAATACATACTGTAATTATATTTAATACCTCACTGCTGTGCAAGTTTTTTGCTTTTTTTTTTTGTTATAAGTATTAACAATTACATTTAATACCCTAATGCAATTATATTTAATACCTACTGTAATTACATTTAATACCCACTGCAATTACATTTAATTTTTAAGTATACATAAGTATCATTAATTTAATTTGATACCCTTCATTATTAGTATTATAATAAAATAGTATTATTAATTGGATTATATTACCGTAATAATATGATTTGGAGTAACTATTGTCATCATATTTATGTCACATATGGAGTTTCTCTAAGTAGCTACCCAGAGCGTACACCGATGTATGAGTCTGCTCGACACTCCACAGGGGAATGGATGTAACCATGTAAGTATGTACTCATTAGCATTTCATGTGTATTATAAGACCTTAATATTATGTAAAAATATGTTTATTTCATAAAAATTAAGTGTTTGAAACTAATTTAAGTGACTTTCGCCTCAAGTCAAGCCTTTTTTTCCCTCAAATTTAAATTTATTCTTGTATAAATTGATGTTAACCTAATAAATATGTTGAATTAATAAATTATTTAGCATATCTTTATAAATTAATGGATTGCATTTGTGTTTCTATGCATTTCCATATTTTTTCTGCGTTTCCATTGCGTTTCCGAAATGTTTCCGAAACGTTTCTATTTTTGAGTTGACCGAAACGGTACTTCGAAACGAAATTTTGATCCTTGCCTACATGTAAGCAATTTCAAGTTCCCCACCCAATATAATGAAGGATGGGCCAACCAAGTTGTATAAGGAGAAGCCTCCATGGGTGTATGTATTGTTGTGTCTAATCCATCGGGTTGTGAGAGAAATCAAATTATCTGTCTAAATTATACTTCTATTTTATGGAAAGGAAAAGTATAAGTCTGTCTAGATGCGAGAGGGGTAGTTATATTCTAAACTAGGTAGTTAGTTCCCTTGAGTATCTATTTTACGAGTATGCCTCAGGAAGCCATCAAGGCATCTCTTGCAGTATACCACGTATCCAAACTTTTTATCAATGAAGCCATCTTCACTGATCAAACGAAAAGTATTTACTTTTCCTTGGAAAGGAGAATTCTATCTGACATGATGCAGATAAACAGTCAAAGCCACTTATGTATGGCATAAATGTACATTATTTACTGGTTGCAAAATGTATAAAGATTTTCCTAGTGAAAGAAAGCTATATACCTTATTTACTGGTCCAAGGCAGATATACTGTGTGTTTTCATCCTCATAGTGAATATGCTGCATTGCAGTGTTTAATGCTTTCTGCCTCAACTTAGAGAAGGGCCATTGCATGAGAAGTGGCTCTGCAACCTTGTGCAGGCCACCCCAAATAATGTCCTGTATAAGTGGATGTGGGTAGTACAGATCTTCCTGCAATACAATGAACCATGATAACAATGAATCGCATAAAGCATCTGTGAATTAGAGCTAAATAAGATAAATCCAACTCTAGAACAAGGGAAAGAAAAAATTTGTGCCAGTATAGACGGAAAGAGAGTTGGCAATGAGTTGGTTCTCATTGAAGCCCTTTTGTTCCGAGGATCAAAATTTTGTTTCGGTACATTACCCAAGTTATCTCAAAAACGTAAACGCTTTGGAAATATTTTGGAAACATAATGAATATAGATAAAAATTTTGGAAGTTTGATTCCGAAACATTTCAAGACATCAGAATTTGATTTTTTTGTCACACATTCGTTTCTGTGAAACAATATGAAAATTTGATGCCTGTTTTGTTAGCCAATTAATTCATTTACTACATAATTTTATATAAAGACAAAGCCTGTGCAGAAAATCTACCCTGGTTAACATGGATCTTCACCTATTTCTCAGTTCAGCAGCAAAAAGTTGGAGTTTGGCATCGAGCCCAAAGGCTCAATTTGCCCATGTATTAAGGTACCTTCATACCTCATACTGACAAATCTATGAAGATTTGACTTTCTACTGTTCTAGGCATGGCTATTTGAGTTTCAACGAATTTCAATGCTTATATAAATTACAGATTTTTCTTTTACTACCTTCCTGCAGTTACATTCTGGTGTCCATAAGCCTATTTTTTGCAGTAAAACCAAATGGACAATTAGGAGGAATGTTGTTATGAAGGTGGCTATAAAATAATCAGAATGACATATGGAAATATGGAGCACATAAAATTATGTGGTGTGGCTCAATAGCCTATGTTCACGGGAGAATCACAGCCGCAAAGGTCACTATCAAAGATGAAGATTACAAATTGTATTCTCAAACAGAAGGCAAGAGAACATGTAAATCAACTTGTGCAAAATTTCCAACATTTGTAGTAACTCAAGTACCCTATTCAAGTTCTAAAGTACCAACTTCTAAAGTACTATCACTCTCCTATTCAAGTTATCCATGACAAAAGAGCCCCAAAAATTTGCCACAAGGATAAGGCTCTGAAAATTTCTCAATTAAACTTCATGTCAGACCGGATTTTATAATTCATATCATTATACAAAACACCAACAACAGTAGCAGTATAGGAGCAATGTATGAGGGCATACCTTAGCACATTGATTTCTAGCCAATTCCCATTTAATCTGATGGTAGGGATGCGTATAGAGCTCCCTTCTTAGTGATAGAACAGTGGCATTGATTGTTCCTACAAACCTCTTCCCATATAAATAGGACATAGGAAGGTATACCATTCGGCAATGACACCACATACGCCCTGCGTCAAGGTTAAACCCTGTATTAATCTCTTTGTTGAAGTGATGTATTCCAACTATTCTAATTGGGTTGAACTATGGTATTTTCGGTAGGATACCTCTTTTTTTTCTCTATTGAAAAACATGATATTTCTAAAATTTTCGTATTTTATCATTCCTTTTATTTATACCCAAAACATTTGTAAAGTGTGAACATTCCGTGCATCAATGCAGTCAGCTTGAAAACGAAATCAGTTTAAAAAATATACCCAAAACATAATGAAAACAAAAAAAAAAAAAAATGGAATTTTGAGTATGAACATCCCCGAGCATCCCGAAACATAGAAACTTGATTTTTAACCACCGACTCATTTTTGTTTCCACCAATTTCTACCAAAACAAGACAAAATGTTCATCCTTGACTGTGCATGCCATGGTATAGTGCATTCCTAGTCTTAGTGTTCTTAGACATTTACTTGGTAAAGTGTGTAATTATCATACAGGAAATTGAACAGACAAAACATACTTGAGGGAAGAAAAGGCAGAAGTAAAACCTGGGTGTATAGGAAGAAAGTAAGGAAGAAGCCATATCTCTGGGGGTAGTGGATTGTTGCCGCTCCACTCGTACACGCCAAGTACCTACCAAATGCTCAATTTGTTGAAACTTGACACAACCTTTATTCCTGGTTGTATACTATTTCACACTCCCAAGATTTTAAAAGTTACATTTTGACCCCTTAACTATAAAAAGTCTTTCCTTGTGCAATTTGAAGATTTGTTGTCTCACATCATACATGATTTTGTCTTCACAGAGGGAACCGGTACACTTTACTACACATTGAACAATTATAGGGACAATGTGAGATTTTTTGTTTTGACGAGATAAAGTGAAATTTAAAAAAAAAAAAAAAAATTGCCTGGGATCCCAATAAACTACTTTAAGAGCAATAAGGTAAAAGTTATTTTTCCCACCAGCAGAAAAATAAAAAAATACAAAATAACTGTCTATCAGACATGGAAATATTCTTTCATCGTTTTTGGTACATTTTAGGTTACTGTCTAAAATAAAATGGTATAATAAGATTATGAAATCCGTTTGTTACACATGAAATGAAGAAAAGTAAAATATCTTACAGAAAGCCACAACTTTCCCCATGATGGAATGTTGGTGGCTCCACCACGATCATGAATCCATTTTCTTGCACTCTCCAAAGCTCCATCTCCACCGTCCATTCTTTCTCCGAGCAATCTCAGGCTAACAAAATTGAGAGCTGTACAGAACATGGTGCTGTGCCCTTCTATATGTAATCCCCATCCTCCATCTGTGTTCTGCAAGCCCAATTCAACTAGTAATTCTAATTCTATTTTGAACAAGAAATATATTCAGTAACGTTGCCCTTTAAAATTTTGTATTATGCGATGTGGCTTTTTATGTTGGTACTTTCAAAGTAGTGCAATCACCTTCCAAATATTGAATTCAACAGTGATATTGAGTCAGAAATATTGATGTAATATTACTAATTAATAATAAAATATTAAGTAAAAAATATGAATCTCAATTGAATAATTATTTATTTATATGAAAGAAAATTGTGTTATTATTTGTTTACATAAAGTATTGATTATTAATTTTAAGAAATTTATTTATTTATTTTAATATTATTAATTAATAATACCATTTGATATCACGATTGTAATAAATAATTTGAAAGCGATACTTGTCTTTTTGTTGGGTTGCTTGTCTGTTTATAAAACAGGGAGGAGAGGAATTTCAAACGGAGACGGAGACAGAGACGTCATAGGGAAGCTGCAAAATGAAGGGTAAAAAGGTAAATTAGACATGTCTGAGTCGACCTTTTTATTTTTCCCAGTTTTCGCCTGATTTTGGAGAGATTAAAAATGGTCTGCTTTGTCCGAGTGGATTATCTTTCCACTCACTTTTTCTTTTCTTTCATTTTTTCTGTACAACCAAATAAAGTAAATTTTAGGCCCAGTTTGATTTATTTTTCAAAAAATAGTATTTAAAAATTATTTTAGAAAAAAATTTTAAAATATATTTTGGTATTTTTTGTGTCACAGAACTTATTTGATTATATGATTCAAAAAATAATTCTACGAAATAAAAAAATAATAAAATTTATTTGAACAGTAATTCAAAAAACAATAAAAATATAAATGTGATGCGATGATTTAGTGGACATAGTGATGATGGGAGTGTGATTGTTGTGAAACTATGGTGACGATGGAAGTGTGATGTTGTGAAAATATGGTGATGTAGAAAGTGTGATAGTTGTGGTGGTGCTTGTGGGTGGTGGGTGGTGGGTGGTGGGTGATGGTGGTAGTGGTCGTGGTGGAAGTATGATGGTAGTAATGGTGGTGATAATATTTTCTACATTCTGAAAATGTTATTTTTAAAAATGCAAAAAATAGTTTTAACTTGTTCTTTAAATATACCTAATTTTTATTTTTAAATTTTAAAAATAAAAAATAACTGATCAAAAAACTGTTTTCGAAAATAGAAAATAATTTTTGAGATACAAATAAAAGGTGACTGTATTTATTAGGAAAAGGAGTACAGTTTCGACTTCAGTGTTCTACCGAAAGTTATCACACAAAATTAGGGCATAGAACAACTCAATTTCGAGATTGTTGTTGTACTTTTTTTTTTTTAAAAGAAAAATAGTACTACAGAAAGACTTTCCACTAACTCAATAATGTATTGACCTCTCTCAACTATTATATTTTTTACATTGCACTCCCATATATGTCATTAGTTACATACCGTCCTAATTATTAATATCCGTTATAAATTTGGCGATAAGTTGTTTCATTTTACCTCTCGAGCTAGATAATTTTTTTCAATTTACTTGACAAGTTGATGAGTTCTATTCATATTTGAGGCAATGTGAATCAATTCAAGTATCTGAGGGAATAATTTATAAAATTCAATAGTTCAAGGTACAAAGTGAAATTGAGTTCATAATTAAGGGGGTCAAAATATAATATTCCCCAATGACAAGTATGTGATTATGAATTCAGATCTTATGTTCGTATTGCACAAAGGAAAGAAATATTAGCTGATGGCTATTTACCAAAAAAATAATAATTTACCTGATGGTTATACAGATAACGACGAATCTCCCTTTGATGTTCTTCCGGCAAAACTGTGTTCAAGGTCCCCATTACAAACAAGCCAATAACCTACAAAAGTGTGAAAATACCTAAGAAAGCAGGCATAGTAGTAGGTAAAGAAGTTTGATCTTGATTTTATGTGCAGCTGTGTATATTAACATGATAATACTTGTTAATAATATATATAGAGAGAGAGAGATCTATCTAACCACGGGCAGAGCCAAAATAAAATTATAATAAAAATCAATCAATCAATCAAAATAATTTATTCTGAAATATAATTTATCACATTCAACTTTCAAATATCATAATTTAATTTTTGAGAAAAGCAAAAATTAAGAATCCATTATCGAGAGTGTAGTGACCGTGAGAGAAAATTGAAGAGAACAGTCAAATATAAAAATCAAACTTGTTGAGATTTCACAAATAAATTTCAAGTGATAATAATCGGTAACTTGATGTATAAGAAAAAAAAAAAAGAAAATTGAATATAAAAGAGAAACTAAAGGGAGAATGACGACTTTAAATTGTATGAAAAAAAGTTTAAGTTTAAATATTTAATTCATGAAAGAATCCAAGAAATAGAACAATGGGGGTCTAAAAACTTATCTTAATTTGTTGATGCGATAACGCGACAATTGAGATGCTAAAAATAGTATTAATTTTTTTGGATAGTATTATTCCAATTGAGACTCTAGGATTAATTCTTTGAGATTCCATCATTTAATGTATTATTAGTTTGGAAATGTGACGACCCATCTAAAATTAATCTCCCATACATTAATTATGATTCTATATAATTAAAAGTTATTTTTAAAAATTTCAAATAAATAAATTGACCTCAAATATGAGTTTCTTGCATGAAAACGAGTCAAATAGCTATAATATATGCCATATTTCGTGTTGACAAAAAAATGTCATCTTAAGATCTTAAGTGTCTGAATTATATAATACATCTAAATTATTTTTCTCATGTAGTAAAGAAAAAAATGGCAAGTGTCTATACACTCAAAAAAAAAAAAAATACACAAGGTTTGTAATTCCCTGGTGGAGTCGCTAGTACATGAGTATGAGGTCTTACCAAGCCAGGTAGAAGGAATAAAGGGCCACCATAATCACCAGGCCAGTGTCCATCCTCTGCCTGGAGAGTTGAGTAAAATCTCAAGGCCCTTCTCAATGTGGTGGCCGCTGTTTCCTCTGTTATTTCTGCTTCACTTCCTACCTTCATCTGTGGTAATTGCAACTCACATGGATTCTCCTTTCCAAACTACGAATCAATGGACATCGGATTGGTGAAAACCAAATGAAACTATCAGTATAGAAAGTTAATTCTATTTTTCAAACAACGTACAATGTGTAATGTGCATGTGTAGGATTAATTTTTGTTAAGAACGTACTCGGGGTAACTTTTAATTGACAAATATCATACTTTTGTCTTGATTCCAACAGAACGATCGAAGTATTTCGGTGTCTTTGAAAATTGAAATGAATCATCGAGTATGATGTATGTTTTTTAAATTGTTCCAAGGTATTTTGATATGTTTTGGAAACAAAAATTTCTCTGTTTTTGAAATATCTTCGTTTTTTAGCTTATAAAAAATATGTGTTGAAATAAAATGATCCTTTTCAAACATGTATGAATTGTCACCTGGATTCTCATTAGGAGATCAGAACTATGTTTTTGTTCAAAACGGCTCTTGTGGAAGTCCAACCGAAGCTTTTCAACTTGAGCTCGTTCTTCAGGTGTTCCAAGATGAGGATCGAACTCCCAATATTGTCTTCCAATATGATTATTTACGCTTTTAAGCCATGGTTCATCGTCACCTTCCGAAAGTATAAGCTTCCACATTTTCTGATTTCTTTGCTCTCCTTTACCTCTTTCACCAAAATAACAAATCAATTGTAACATCTTTGAAAGTGGCTATCATCTGCCTGAGTCCAATGCAATATATCACGCCACAACTGTCATATTCACAAGGATGAATTACACTTTAACCCCCACAATTGTTGCCCAGCCAACTATCCTATTTATAACACTGCACATCCAACTTTGGTTATTGATTTTAAATTACTCCCTCAACTATCATATTTCTCATACTACATCTCCAACTATTTTTAGACCCCCTCAGCTATCATGTAATGTTACTATTTACAAAAACAAAGTTATTACTCTTAAGATAAAGTTTTCATCTTTAAAGGTGAATGTACAAATTCTTTAGGTAAGATTACAATAATTGAAAGTAAAATTACTATCTTTGAAAGTGAGGTTATAATCATTTAAGGGTAAATTATAGTCTATATAGGTAAAATTATCATCTTTAGATGTTGGATTACAACTTTTTAATGTGAGATTATAACTATTTATGGTAAAATTACTACATTTAGATATGAAGTTATAATTATTTAATGTTAGGTTTCAAGCACTAAAGGTAAAAGTATCACCTCTAAATGTGAGTTAAGCTTACAATCTTTTGAGGTAGGTTTACAATCTTTTAAGGTAATGTTATTACATTTAGAGATAAAATTATTACAATCTATATAATAAAATAATTTACGATTCAAATTTCAAAAGATAAACAAAATGTCTTTTATTATTCGCGGTTGAGATCGCTTTAAATTTAACTTTAAAGTTAATCTAACGGTTAATATTAACACTCTAAATTTAATAGAAAAAATAGACTTTAAAGATGTGTTTGGAGTGACTTTTTAAAATTACTTTTAGAAATTATTTCTCATAAATACTTTTTTTTTTTAAATAGTGTTTGAAACCGCATCACTACTATTTCTACCACCACCACCACTACCTCTACCACCACCACTGTCACCACCACCACTACCTCTACCACTACCACTGCCACCACCCCCATTGCCATCACCACCCCCACCACCACTGTTATCGTCGCCACCAACGCCACCACTATCGCAACCATCGCCGTCGCCACCACCAGCACTGTCGCCGCCACCGCCGCCCACCACAACTATCACAGTCTCCTACCACCATCATTATCGCCCACCACCTCTCACCCTTACTACAACCGATACTTAAATTCATTTATCTCTCTTTTATATTTGTGATTTAATTTTAGATAGTCATACAAATATGTTTATTATTTACAGACAATAACTAGTTTTAGATAAAATTAAAATTTTTATACGCAGAGTTATCATTGAGTAATATTTAATAACAAAAATTCACAGCCACACCACCGTATAATACCGCTATTAAACCATACGGTGCCATAGCCTCTCCTTATCTGTTTCGATATTTCGTACAGCACCAGACTGTACGAAATATTTTATCAAATCTTTTTTATTTTAAGTGATGTGATACAACATTACTAAAATTGAAGTCATGTGAGATCACTCTATCAGGTCTGAAAATCAAGTCTTAACCAACAGATTGTGTGTTGACCAGCAATAATGTATGTAGTCAGAAATTTTCTGACTTCATTGTATATAAAAATCAAAGAAAATTAGTTCATGAGGCTATTGTTAACGTCAAATTTTTAGACATATAAAAGCTATCAAACTTAGTTTTTTTACCTATTTTTAGTAAAATCAAGAAAATTAGTTCCAACTTATCAATTCATTGAACTGACAATTTTAGCTGAATTTCGTTACATAATCATTTTCATTGCATAGTCAATAATTTATACACAAATTCATCAAGTTATTTACTATTTTTAGCTCAATTTTCACCAAATAACCTACCAATTTCAGCTCAATGTTTTCTTAGTTTTAGAAAAATAACCCAAAAATTAAGCAAACAACAAAAATATGCATTTACTTGAGAGAAGCACAAAATACTACATATTATGCCTTTAGAACAAGCACAGAATTCCACATATTATACCTGGACTGGACAGAGCTCCAATAAACTATCGTCACTAGTCAACTTGGCTAAATAGTGATCAGAGTCGATAACAAAGAAACACAATCTTTACGGATAATAATAGTGCAAAATAGGGACAATCCAACAAAATGTGATCCAACATGTTAGAGGGAGAGAAAAATATGTATGATATAAACTTATTTAGAGATAATGTCAAGATTTTTGATCTTTTTATATAGGGGTTGTTTAATGATAAAATAAAAATTATTTATAGTAAATAACATATTTGAATTGAGCCGAGGAATACATTGCCTAAATTCAATTCAATTACAAAACGAGCTTGGAAATCTGATTCAGATTTGGTTTGCTTCATAATTTGATTAAGTCAAAACCAAGCCGAACTCAATCTACTAGAATTGTTTAACTGCCCAGCTGTAGCACTGCGCTCATTTATTTTCAATCCATGTTGTTTCTACAACATTTGCCTCAATCCGAGAAAATTAGTTGCACAATTTATAGGTTAATAGAATTCTTCCCTTCTCATGCAATCCTCAACATTTTTTTTTTTTTTGCAAATTCTTAATGGGTTGTTCAAATCTTTTCCCATGTGTACAACAGTATAATAATGTACATCTACCTCTTACTAGACCACGAAATGATATATATGAGCCTTATACCCTCTATATATATATACAATCTCTCTCACTCTCTAAGTGTGTGTGTCTCCGTTGTGTATGTTCGTTATGTGTTTTTGTGTGCATGCGTTTGTCACTGATTATGCTCCACCATGAAGTATTCATTTCATCTCAAGGTATAACTTTCTGATATAAACAAATCATTAATTTTTGGGAAGGGAACAATTTGAATGTCTTTACAATCTAAGCTTCAACAGTTTTTCTATTTGATTAGCTTTACAGAATTAAGCACCTGTAAATAATCAAACAGTTTATACATACTTATGGGGAAATTAGTGGCCCTTGATATGTGTGTATTAAATAGTACTAGAAACAGTTTTTTTTTCGGTCCAATTGGAATAAGCTTGTTCTTTTTAAGAAAAATATTTGGAAATGACCAATGCAGCATGTTGTTTGGGTTTGATGACACATGCATTGTGAAACCTTGTTTAATAAGGTAACTAATAATTAAAATAACACTTAGTATGGATCGATCAAAGTCATTAGTTACAATTTTAATAATAACTAGAACTCGCGATATACGCTTCGAAAGTGTAGTATAATTTGAAATTTCAACTTTGACAAATATGTCTTGCGAGGAGTGCTTGTTTAACAACACACAAACCTTTGGGTTTTTATCTTGCACCATTAAATTCCTAATAATGATCAAAATTCATTTTGAAATAGTCAAAACAATTGAAATATTTCCATTCCCATAGAAACAGAAACGAATCAATGATTGAATATCAAAATTCTTATGTTTTGAACTGTTTCAAAATATTTCTAAATGCTTTGAGATATTTTGCATGTTTCGACTAATGTTTCAATCTTCAAGACGTTTTCGTTGTCTAAGTGACTGAAATAATACACCAAAATAATATGTTAATCATTGATTGCCAAATCCTCTAAAAGATATATGTCAGCTTCAACAAATGATTTCCGCAAACAAGTTTGATCCACATCTAGCTTCCATGCGTTCCAAATGTTATTGTTAGGGCTTCCCAAAACATAGATATACATATGCAAATGAAAACTACATTGCAGGGGTGCTAAGGCATGATGCATCCATAAATTTATCACAGAGAGAGAGAGAGAGAGAGAGAGAGAGAGAGAGAGAGAGAGAGAGAGAGAGAGAGAGAGAGAGAGAGAGAGCTAACATGCAAGCTAAGACGGCAGAAATTTGGTTGAGAATAAGAACTACTCCAACAAAGATGGGTTCTCTTGGAGAACTAATGAGAGCTTTATACTTGGGAGCCGCATAGTTACTGAAGTATCAGTGGGCACTTACCAATAAAAAATAGGGAGATTTGGCAATGTACACAATTGTGAATTTTTAAGGCGAGAGGTTCAACTTAGACACTTTTAATACGATAGGTTTATAAAATACGCAGTTGACAAAAATACTATTAATGAGGTTATTTAAAAACTTCCACCATATCCCATTATTATCTTTATTATCACCACCACTACCTTGAACTTCACGACAGTGAACTCCATGATAGTGAATTAAAAGATAATGAACTGAAAAATAGTGAACTAAAAGACAGCGAACTAAAAACATTATCTTCCTCTCTCTTTCTGAATTGATTGTTTGATATGTGAAATACAGATGAGATTTGATTGTGTTTTACGAAATTTTTGAAAGACTTTTATTTAGATTGATGAATTTTGAATGATCTTATTGGTTCGATTTGTGAACAAAAAACAATGAACTTAAATAGTGAACTAAAAACATACTCTTTCTTTTTCTATGAATGTGTGTTTTGTTATATATTGTGGATGAAAGAAGAGTTGAATTTTTTAATTCTTTATAGTTCATTGTCATTGAGTTCACTGTCATGTAATTTACTATTTTTAGTTCACTGTCGATGTGGTAGTGGAAGATTTATATAGAAGAAGAGCTGAATTTACCCATGAGAAATACCACGACTATTGTTCGGCCTCAGTCAAGCAAAGTGCAAGACAGGGGGGATAATATAGTCATACTAAAAAAAAAATTATTTTGGACTACATGAGAAAAAAGTTCAGTTGAGTTGGACCTTATGCCTTAAAAAGTACATACTTAAACTTATTGACAAATTAAGTATAGAATTTATAGTTTTCAACAATCCCAAGTAAAAAGTATTACCAATAAAAATGAGAATTATTTTTTTGAATTCCAGATAAATTCAAAAATATTATCAATACACAGTGCACTCGTTTGATTGTCGTATTGTAAAGGATGGTTTTGGATTAAGGAATCCAAACTAACCTGAAACATATATTGAGAGATTAAAAACTAAATTTATCAGGACACAACAATAACATCCATTTGAATTTTGCATTTGGCAAGACACCATACTG